TCGTTGATAGGAGAATTGATTAAGGACTCAATAATGAGATGTCGTTTGATCCTGTAGCGGTAGAGTAGCTAGCGACAAATTTGTTAGACTAGAATCTACTTCTGTGTCGTCAATTCCCTTGAAGTACCTTTTGCCCCTTTCCTGTTCTTCTTTACCCCGTTCAACGTCTTCTCGTTGCAGTGGGCGGCATAAGAGGCGACAGAGTACAGGTATTTTGGCATGACCAGCTAGTTGCCCCTCCTCATAGCCTCAACGTGATCCTTCACCACCGTTGAAGTCTTCGACCGTACTGAAACAGCTTTGGCTGTAATGAACCAACATCTACCTTAGATGACTGTTTCATCGTTTTGGTTGTCCCTACCCAAAACCTTTCTCCTAGCAAAAAGTTGTCCACTTTGTGTCAACCGCCCATTGTGACATGCCTATCATGAACAAAAGGCAGTGCCGCCAAGTCATTTCATAACAAACGATATTCAGTTAGGACAAGACTTTGTTCGAGACAAAGACTCGCAATGAAGACGCAGCATTTAACAAGCTCGAAGCTGCCAACTTCGTAAACTTGCCCGCTCAATTCACATTACCCTACAAACCAAACCAGCAACTAACATATCTTCAGTGTTCCCAATCGCATCACAATGGCTCAATCACATTTCGAAAGCAATATTGCCACCACCGCCCTGAAGGATCAACTCAGAGCGGTGCAAGCTAAGAACGCCCCTAAGAAGCCCGAATGGGCCAGTTCTCACCAAAATGAGCAGCCAGTGTCGACCAAAGAACCTCGACCGCTGCGCCTCGTCGAGAAGTACAACAAAGACAAAGCTAACTCTTCGACCAATCAGAAGACCCCGGATTCCCATAACACAAGCGCTCAGACGGCCGATATCTCCGCCGAAACCCCATACTGCAGCGGCGCTATCCAGGGCGACTTGCCGATCCAGATGGTTGACGCCGAGAATGGACAACAGCTCCCGGCGCATTCTCGTCGACAGAACTCAGAGCACCTCTATGTCCACGAGGAAGCGAGTACTGATCATGTAACTGACCAAGGTAGGCAGCTAACCGACAATGAAGAACTGCCGCCAATCAAGACATTCTGGGAGAAGGTCGAGTCTGCGCTGTACCTATACCAGTTGCGAACCCATGGTGACAACGAGGAGCACCCCTTCTACCGTGCTAGGGCCAAGGCTTTCTCCATGCATAAAGCAGTCGGCATCTTTGCAGGGTTTTCAGCGAGTCTGTTCTTTTCAGTCGGGATATATCTCGCCAGAGATAACATTCAACCTCCCTTGAATCTCCCCTTTATGTTCACCTGGATCGCTTTCAGCGGTATTGTAGTCCTCTGGGCCATGGTGGCTATCATTCAGATCCAATGGTCTAAAAGAGGACTCAAGCACGACTTGGAGGTTGCCAGAATGAGAGACGCTTTCAATGCCACCACTGTTGGGGATGCTGCTTCAGAGGGATGTTTCGTGAATGGTGTGCGTTACGAAGGCGAGCAGCGTCCCAAGCCGGATTCCATCACGAATGAAGCTATCCAGCGAGAAAATGTTCGAGAAGCCCCGGAGGTTTCTGATTCTAGTACGCACTCAAGTCTTGACGGCATCCGTGAGTCGAAAGGAAACTGGGCTAACAGCACAAAGGAAGAGTTATCGAAGTTGCCTGGAACACCAGAGTAAGAGCGTGCTTGGATCGGTGATCGTTGACAGGGTGAATAGGGTATAGAATTTGTTAGAAGAATGACTACGCGATTGGCACACATAAATTTCCTTTTTTCATCCCATGTTGCAGCGAATACTCAAGAGACCCGGAAAAATGGTCTCCGATATCTGCTTTGGAACCTAGAATTTACCTTGTTATTCAGGCAGAGTAACGAGTGTGCCAGGAACCCTAATCTTCCATGGGCTTGCATACATCAGTAAATACTTCCTGTAATCTTTCGACGATGAGCAGGCGCGTTCGGCCTGTTATTGGGGTTTCGCTGGGGAAGGAGCATTCTTGGCAACGACTTACAAGCCTTGGACGACGTCGAGACGGAGTGGACTGCAATAGTCAGACCACGCAAGTTCCGAAGAACTTGACTCATCAATTGCCGGATGTTTCTGTACGGTTCGAGGTTATTTCTCCAGATTGTTGATCACCCCGTAGTTGCATATGTTTTGCCCACTTTCTTGCCTGACCACGTGTCTGAGAGATGATGGGCATCATAAAGTTTAAACGAATCGATTTGAGGTTGTCCAAATGCGGAAAACCTATTTGAGACATGAAAATAAACATTGAATTGGGTTACTGTAACTGGGATGCTGGAATGGAGGATGATTGCTGATGGCAACTCAACATTCCTGGGGTGGTTTGACCTTGAGTCAATGTGGTGCAGGATTTAACCACAGGCATCTCTTTCTTGTCTTCTCTTTTTCCTGACGATAACTTCACTTCTTCAATTGTGGAAGCCGCCCAGTCTTTCCTTCCCTCTGGGAGAAAAAACTTGCTCACCGCGGACCCGTGGTGTTGTGGGTGCCTGGAGGCAGACGCGTCTTCAACCTTTGAACCGCGTCAACCTTTCCACCCAGAACAACATGGAATAAGATTTTCCTTCTCACAAAGCCAGCACTCTCTTTCCACCGTCGCCAAACGGCTTTTCCCTTCGTTTTTCAAACTTCTAGGCTATTCCTTCCTTCCCACAACATCCTCTTTGTCATTCATTTTCCGTCACTCTCTTTTTTCCGAATACCCTCACTTGGAGGAATCGTCACAAAGCATTCACATCCGCGAGCAAAGAATGTCGCTGCCACCGCAGGCCTCTTTCAGCTCTGCCACGACTGCGGTCGCCAGTCGTGGAGCGGCATACCCTTCTGTGGAGGAATTCACCTCCTTCAAGCTGCCGAACAAGCCGAGAATCATCAAGACTCTCACTAGCGATGATATCTCAGACCTTTCCGATGAGCCGGACAGTGCGCCTCGCCCTGCGATGAGCCCCTCGACGCCCATTCCTCCTTCTCCCATGTCTTCGGAGGAGTCTGATCGGGTCATCGACCTCAATTATACTCCGCTCACCGTCCGAGGCAAGAGCATGATCTTGCCTCAACACCCTCTCAGCGGCAAAGCCAAATCTCCTCGCTGGCCCTTCCAGAACGCGACACCCCGCACCTCGACTATGGTGCCCATCGTCCGAAGCTTCACTGGAACTTCCAGCCGATTCGACCACAATCCCAGAGACGACTACAATCCAGCGGTTGAGATCAGCGTCACCGAGTCCCTAGACGAGTTCCAGATCAACCATCCCAACGGCCGCTTGCTTGCGTCTCACCCTCAAGGCCTCTCTGTTCACGAGACTGGATGCAACCTGACCGGTCGCAACTTGGCCAACATTCCCACCCTAGTCGAGCAGCTTCAGCAGGATGCTCACTCAATCAAGGCCGTTTCTTCCAAGCACCGACAGAGACCCTTCGAAGTCTTCTACCGCCGTTGCAAGAGCTCCCAGCTCCTTAATCTTCAGATCCTCCGACGCCGCCAGGACAAGCGAAAGAAGGATTTCGAGACAGACACCACTTGGTACCAGCGCATCAGTCTCGATGATAATATCTATGTCGGGTCCGTCGTCCTTACTCTCTTCTTCGTCACCCAGACGGTTGTCTCCATCACTGTCAGTTTGACCATGGTAGCTTCCCAGATGAGCATCCCTTACTTCGTCGTTGTCTGGGTCATGGTGAGCCTCATCGTCATGATCTTCACTGTGGTTATGAGCCTTCAAATGCGCTCTTTCCGCAAGAAGACCAACGCTCTTATTGACGATGAGAAACGAGTTCGCTCGACTACCTTTCCCAAGCTCTCTCATGAGGGTCATCTTCACCTGCCTGCCGACGCTGCAGAGATCGCTCATCGCCGTCAGATTGCCGCCGCCCTTGCGAATGAGCAAGCTCATGCAGGCAGCTCGACCGAAGAGTCCGAGAAAAGTTCCGATGGAACCGTTGTCGATCAGGTCACCCAGCCGCCCGCCGTGTTCGACCCTTTCGCTCCGGCTATGCCCCGCGACACCAGCAGCGTCTACCTCTCAGCCAGCGGTACTTCACCCCAGGGAATTCAGGATTCCAACGACACAGCTTGGCAGAACGTTGACCTTGCGGCAGTCGGAAACTCCCGCACTAGCTCCATGACGGCTGTCGTCCCTACGGCTCCTGCCAACCTCCCGGCGAGCACCCAGAGATCGAGCTGCTAGGATCGGTGCGAGTTCCGGATGCAACCTTACGGCAGAATTCCCATAATGAAATATATTTGAGGAGCCAGCCTTCGGTGTTTTGGGAGTTCCTATTAGGGAAAGGACATGGAATTTTTGACAAGGGAGTCTGGATGGAACATGGAACGGCGATTGATTTGTGAAGATACCCCCTACCGCACGGAGGTGCAAACAGTTACGGTTTATTCGAGGTTTTGATGTAGGAATATGGTTCAATAAGCTCTAGGCAAGGCATTCAGACATGACTTTCAAACGCTTGTGCATCTTTCGTCTCGCGCCGCCTTACTCGTGAGCTTGTCGGTGCATAATGAAGATTTTTGTTCCGCTTCCTCATCCGCACTTCTTGGCCCAGAATGAGACGATCTGCGTGATCAACCTACATGTTGCGCTATATTTAGCCAACGGCAGGCAGAGACAGGCCTGCACTTGTTATTTGAACCAACTTCTCACGCCCAGGTAATGTCGGCGGCTAGGGTGCATGTTGGACAAGTAGGCTGGCTCGCTGCATAAGCTTCATTGGCTGCTGGTTGCCTATCTGCACCTCGCCTGTTGACCTGCTCCTTGTTTGCAAGCGTTTCGTGTTTCTCCGCTCTCATTTAAATGTCTCCATATCTATCTCTTCTTCTTCACTACACGCAGTCATATCAATCTATCCCACAATTCGAGTATTTTACTTGCTGCCCCTCTCATCCTCTCTCACCTCCCCGACACCGTTGTGTCTCAATCTCAAGCCCGGGGAGCGCCCCTGGTAGAACCTTAAAAGACTACGATGCTGACAGAATTGCTGGGGAGACTGAAAAGAAATGGAAGGAAGAAGGACCCAGCTGCTGCAGTGCATTCGGCAACTTGGTCCTCCACAACTTCCTCAAATGTTTCCCTAGTCAAGTCCAGCAAGCCATTGTCCCATGCTAATCCATCCGGGAAACTTCGTCCGCCAGCGAATGACGCAAACAGAGTTGGCGATATTGGCGGCCTTCCACCAACAAATCTATCGGTGACTCCTTCCAGACTCCAGCGCCCAGGCTTGACGAATCTCTGGGAGAGGGCAAACGAGACTCTGCGGAACGACCCCGATTCCGAGAAAAGGGAGCTGGCCCAAAGTTATGCCGAGATTTTAGCCTCGGAACTTGCTGGGCCAGAGTCTGGGCCTTTGGACACCGATCCGGCTCATCTCAAACAAGAGATAGTGGCAGAACGTTTGAACGCTAGAGTGGAAATGCTTAGCCATGAGCAACTGTCCATCTCTGTCGGAAGCCGCGAGCTTGATATTGAACCCTTGCTTCGGAACGTATCGAAACACATCGTTGCAGCGAGGGACCTCATTAGCAGTGCTGCTGGCGCCGACCCCCACGCCGCCCTAGCGTGTGCCGGTGGACTCGTCATTCTTACCGTCAGTGACGGGCATCCGCACACAAGAACGAAATTGAAACTGACTTTTCGCAGTTTCTTATCCGCCCATTGGAGCAGAGAGAACACATACTCAGAGGGCTTGAACTGACCTCTTCACTCATCTGTCGATACTTTGCGATGGAGCAGGTTTACCGTTCGAGAGCACGCCTTGAGAGTCTGTCAGCAGAATTGGCCAGAAAGCTTGTATTGGATTTGGAACAAAATCTGATCAAGCTGTACTCGAATATCATCGAGTTTCAGGCCAGAGCACTATGCTATCTTCATCGAACCCGATCGACTCGGTTTATTAGAGACGTGTTCAGAGGCGATACATGGAAGACCCTCATTGAAGAGATCGAGAGACTCGATGCCCACTGCCGTGCTTTCGCAAACCTCATCACCGACGAAAAGATTCTCACGTTTCTAGAATCTCATTCCGAGAAAGTTGAACAAGTCATCATCAACATCAATACGCCCCAACCCGTCTCATTCGATCTTCTGCGAAGAAGGACAGCGCTTCTCCGCACCCTGTACGCCTGCCCATACCGCGATCGTAAAGACATCAATTCAGAAAGAGCACCAGGGACCTGCGAGTGGTTCACCGAGCATGGCTACTTCAGCAATTGGATGTCTGCAGTAGACTCGAAGATCTTGCGAATTTCGGCAGATCCTGGCTGCGGCAAGTCAGTGCTCTCGAGATATTTGGTAGACGAAATCCTTCCAAGCACCTCGTTTCGGACGACGTGCTACTTCTTCTTAAAAGATGATTTTGAGGATCAGAAACTTGCTTCCATTGCGATGTGTTGCATTTTGCGGCAGCTCTTCGAGCAAAACCCTGACTTGATGGACGAGAGAACTTTGGCAAAGTTCGAGGCGGCCGGCGACAACTTATGCAATTCATTTCCCAGTCTTTTCGAGATGCTACTCGAGGCTTCGATGAGAGTAGAGATTGAGTTGATTTGCATTTTCGATGCTCTTGATGAATGCAACGCGGAAGATTGTAGGCAGATCACTGCTGCACTGAGCAAGTTCTACATGAACCCCGGTGAGGGCAGCCGCCTTAAAGTCATCATCACGTCTAGACCGTACGCCCGCATTCAGCGAAGCTTACAAAAGCTCGAGACCTCTGTACCGGCTATCCATCTGAGGGGCGACAGTGAGTCGCAATTGAGAAAAATCTCTGGCGAGATCGGCGTCGTCATCCGCCACAGAGTTAGGAGCTTCGCGGAAGCTCAACTACTGGAACCTCATGAGATTGAGTTGCTGGAGCAAAGCTTGTCAAACTCACAACATCGAACCTATTTATGGGTCAAGCTCGCACTCGATTACATCGAAGACCGTCTCGAGTCTCTTACGAACAAAAGTATCCAAGCCGTCTTGAGAAGCGTGCCGGAGAAGCTAGACGGGCTATACGAAAAGATTCTGGATCGAAGTGCGAACAAGGAACGAGCCCGAAAGGTTCTACAAATCATCCTTGCGGCGTTTACACCGTTGTCTCTTGATGAAATATCCACGGCACTTTGCATCGAAAAAGAGCACAGCAGGGGCTCACAACTCATCAAAGAGCCGACTCATAGGCTTCAGTCATATTTGAGAGAAATCTGCGGGCTGTTTGTGACCGTTGTTGATGGGAGTGTCTATCTCCTTCACGAAACTGCCAGAGAGTTCTTGATCAGAAATTCGGATTCTGTGGGGCTTGATGCGCATGATGAAACATACAAATCGACCTTGCTACACTCAATCACACTCCGAGAGTCACACTTAGTTGTGGCAAAAGTATGCGTCTGGTATCTCATGAAGAAGGACTTCGACATTTCTGCCGGAACTCACTCTGAATGGGAAATGGCAACTTATACTTCGAGGTACTGGGCCCGTCACCTCAACAGCATCGATGCACAGGACATCGAATATATTGCAGATGAAACGATGTATCTCTGTAAAACAGCTCTTAAGCGAGATGGACCGCTTCATACTTCCCACCTCATGCGGAAATACAGACCCCCGAGATGGCATTTCGATATTGGGTTTGACAGCCTGGCTTCGTCTTGCTTACACCTACTTGGCAACGTGCGAGGAGGCCCCTTGATTGTCGCCATAATACTTGGCTTCGACTGGGTGGTCTCCAGGCTATTGATTGAAGATCCTCAAGCCGGAAGACAGGTTGACAGAAAAGGAATCACAGCCCTATGGTGGGCAGCATGGGCGGGTAACGCTCAAATCACGCGCCTTCTCCTTGAACTATACGATGATACAGACTATGGAGACATTGCTCTCAATGGGGTCCGGAGCACCCCTTTGACAGTAGCAATAGCTCACAAGCACAATGCTGTGGTACATGCACTGCTTAAGGATCCGAGAATAAGTATCACCACTCGTTGTCGTGTGCGCCGCAATTGGACCCCCATGCACTACGCGATTGCGGCAGACAACTTCGAACTTTTTCAGCTCCTTTTAGCTGAGGAACGCACTTTTGCCGGCTGGACTTCCGCCGACTTTGCTGATTTACTGATGCACTCTATCAAATGGGGTAGTGCGCAAACTGTCAATCACTTATTCTCTGACAGTCGGTTTGACTTCAACTCTTCGGATTCAAAGACTTGGCGAACTCAATTTTGCCAACTTGCGAATCCAATGGAAAAGAATGAACTTCGTCCGAGCTTTTCAGAGGAAGAACGTCTCAACATGATGCGAATTCTTGTGGAAACCCATCAAGTTGACTTCGCCAGATCCGATCGCGGAGGTAGATCTCCCGTCAGCTGGGCGGCGAGCAGACCCGCCAATGCGGTCATTTTGACATATTTGCTGGACGAGCTCAACCTTGAGCCAGATACTCTGGATAGGCAAGGTCGGAGTCCATTATCCTATAGCGCAGAAATTTACTGCTACCGGAACATCGATGCCTTGCTACGGACGGGAAAAGTCAATATCAACTCAGTTGACAACGAAGGTCGGACTCCCCTCATGAAGGCGACGCAACTCCAATTTCGGGCGAAGGTCACAAAACGTAATCCCTCCGAAAGAAAATACAAAATGCTGCGCGGCAGTGCGGCAATTGCTACATTGAGATTATTGGATCACGCTCCCGATGTCAATCTTCAAGACGTCGAAGGGAATACGGCCCTGATAAATGCAGCTCAAAACCGCGTGGTGGAGGGCGTTAGAGCGCTGATAAGACACGGAGCAGATGTCAACGTCCAAGACATTCATGGTCGCACAGCGCTAGCTCACGCGGCAGAAAAGTTGTGTTTCGAGTCCGTGGAAGCATTATTACTCAAGGCGGGAGCAGACGCGAAATTGTGCGATGACGAAGGCAGATCACCTCTCTGGTTGGCGACTGAGTCGATGAATCATTTGCTCCCGAGATACGATATTCATGGTAAGATGGAGAACATGCGTGGTGTCGTTGGCCTTCTACAATCTAGCAAAGGAGAAGATGGCGGATTAAAATCTCATGGAAGGGGTGAGGACTTGGTCAGAAACCATACTTGTGAAGAAGGATTGATCAAGGTTGTGTGAAATTTTCGTCTTAATGTCGCTTAGCAAACTTGGATGATTTACCCGCATCTTCCTCGTCAGACGAAGACAGAAGTGCTTCATCTTCCAGGGCAAAGTCGTCTAGTGGTATATCCTCCGCATGTAATCTCGTGTACTTCCTGTTTCTATACTTCTTCACAGCAACGACTGCCCCAATGACAGCTCCCGATAGCACTGCAATGACCAGCCCCATGAATATCCACCTCCTCCATCCTCTTAGACAACACGGGTACAAAGACATGTAAATGCCGACGCCCCACTCCATCCATCCCATCTTGCGCCTTTGGTCTGGCTTGAGGCCCTTTCGAACAAGGTGCTTATGCCGTGGGCCAGTCGGGCCAGACTCAATCCTCTTAATTCCGAACTTCGGTACGATTTCCTGACGGGGATCGGAAGCTGGGTACGCTATGTCTCCCCATCGGCCGGAGTAGTAAAAGAAGGATGTCAAGTTCGAGGATGGTGGTGGAGTTGGTGATGACTTGGCTGGTGGATCTAGTCTAGTGACGGTGAAGGACTCTTGGTCGAAGTGGTAGAAGTATGCCGAGAGGATGGGGTCCCATCTTCGTCCTTCGTCGCAGTAGTCGACCAATACAGAGTTGTGAATTTGATTGCTAATGACTTGAGTCAGTGCAGGCCTTAGACTCAAATAAGAAAACAAGGAACTCACCCGCGGGTTGGATAGTTGGCATGAGATCCGCGTGCGCTGTACACAATAGGCTTGACGAAGTTAGCAAATTCTCTTCCCACTAGCTGAGAGACTAAGTAGAGTCACGAACCCTTCCATCGGTCTTTGAGAGGGCTGAATCATCCCACTTGAAAGAGGCGCCATCCACGTGCTGACTGTAGTAGATTCCAGTGGGCTTCCCATCTTGGAATCGAATCATGTTGTGTTCCCAATCTCCGACATGATCACCAAAGTGCATTCCTGACTGCACCTTCTCGCCCTTGACCATCCGGTTGAATGGTTCTAGAACTTGGCTGATGTTCATGCCCTCGTTGAATGAGTAGAAGTAGAAGTAAAACGCATCCAGGTCCCGCTCTCCCTTCTCGACGAGAACCACAACGCATGGTGTTGCGTTGTTGATTCTGCCATCAGCGTCGGGAGTCGCACCGTGAATCCATTCCGGGTAGCTCAGTGGATCATCGTTCGATGTGAGAGCTACTTCGTCTCCAAACTTGTTGAGTATTTCCAAGTTGTCCAGGTCGAGATTTGGGATATCCGGGATGGGTTTTCCGTCTAGTGCCGGGAAAGTGTGTTGGATATGCGTCAAAAGGTCGCTAGGCATGTAAGGATCATCGGAGTGAAGCCAGATGAGAGGTGCTACATGTCATGTTAGCTCTCTCTCTCACTCGAACGCCATCCATGGCATCAGACGTACTATGCCAGCATCGAATACCTGACTGACTTACCGTGCTGGATGACGTAATCGGGACACCGGAGATCCGCGCCGATCGCCGGCCCGGCGACAGTGGAGCATATCAAGAAGCCGGCGAGGAGACAAAGCCTCTGTGGTGAGAATGCCTGCTTAAAAGCAGGCGCTGAAGCGGCCATCTCATACACAACTTCTCGAAAATTGATAGAGAATTTTGGAGGAGATGTGCAGTTGTTTATCGCAAAACTCAAAAGTGTCAGATCCTGTGCTTATTCAGCAAATGCGTGCATGCACGCCATCGAAGGCAGCAGCATTGGGCGGGAACCTCGGGATCCGGGAGCTGCCCGGAAGGTTCGGAGTGGAGCCAAGCGCTGCAGGTCCCTCCTTTGCTATGTCCGTCTTGATATCCGTTCAACCGTTTATTCCCCACTATGGATGCTCTTACTACGCATCACGGATTCCCGCGGCATTTGGTTCCGGGGACGAGCAATTTGGCGGGGGGTTGGTGGGGTGAGTCACGTAAACACATTCCTCTTCTCTTCTTTTTTCGAATTTCAACTCATGATCGTTCTGCAAGTGGTCTCTGGCGGGTATTGCCGTTGAACAGAGAACATGAAATGTTTAAATCCTAAGCTTTGATGCATCAAGATCGCTTGGCGCTTGAGGCAATTCCGAGGTGCCCGTTGTTATTGGCTTGCGAGTCCTTTGGCTTTCTTATACTCTTGCGATGCGAGTACGGGTATCAGAATTCACGTCTTCATCGGCTCAATCATCCATTAAGCAGGTTCATTGCCCTCAAATGGGCCCTCCTGTCGCATGGACATACTCATTGACTCATGTAGTCGGCGATGTCATTTTCGTTAATCTCAATCTACTTGTCAATGTGCATGCATATGAATGCTAGACAGGAGGCTATTCAGGCCATACTCCAGGTAGAGCAGACTTTTCGGTATCGCTAGTTTCGCGGTACAGTACGTGTCATTATAGGCGGCTCTCGAAATATACGGAATGGTTTCTCAGATCTATGAGAGCGTAGCAGCTGTACTTGTCGTATGGATACAAAAATTAGATCTAAGTTAACTTAGCTTCCCAGCCGGGAACCTTGAAAGGTTGTAAAGACGACAATGAAGTTAAACTAATCTTTACCGAGACCGAAGGTCTAAAAAGGTGGTAGTAGAGAATTGCTGCCGAATGTTTCATCCGATCACACAGAACAAGATGAAGACTGGCAAATCGGCGAATTGTGTATGTAGATCAATCGTTCCTAGAATCTAGCTGCTGTCTGGGTATTAATGCAGTGGTGCCTGGCAAGTTCACATCGATAAGCTTTGGATTATCCAGGATCTTCCACTTTCAAACTTGCCTATTTTCCTTCAATAAGGTAGTTCTTCTAGGTGACGTTGATTCTAAGATGGCTCAGTACTTGTTCAAAGTTCATCTCTTACTAAACTGCAAATGACTTCACATCACTGTGTGCCATTCGCTATCGGCATGTGGGGTGATACAGGCTGCGAGATCCTGCCGTGCAAGCCTCATTATAAGAAACCGAAAGGATGGAGCTTGCTGGTGCTATTGAGGCGGAGATCGCCATCCATCACCCAACCCTACCGAGTTCAGCCTTGGCAAACTTGTAGCTTGTTTGTCTGGCTTGTCTCACCCATCCCAGGCTGACTGACAGTAATATCAAACAAGGGACTTTGGTGCGTGCGGTCAGATCCCGGGGCGTCCCCAGATTCGACCCCGGTCTTACAAGGCGTCTTCGCGGAGGGTGCGCCACATACGTTTGCTCAAAGTTCTAACGTGGTAGCAATCGTCATCCCACTCCCACCATCCCTCGCAGAACAAAAGGATCGACACATTATTGGCTGAAGAGAGCTCCCCAAACATTTTTGCTCAATTGACATTCCGGTACTTTGTCGCAGGCCAAGCTTCTCTAAGCTTTTTGCGCCATGGGAGGAAGAGACATCCTCCCCTCCTGTGCCACGCGACCAACGAGAGCAAGGTGAACTACCCCCTCAATGGCCAGACAGACAGGCCATTGCAGCTTTTTACAGCATAAGCTGCATGAAATAGCCTGTCACGCCAGTAGTGACCCCGCATAGAATCGAGGGAAACTGTAGCAGCATTAGGCCGATTCGGGGCGCTCGCATATCACTTCCCTAAGATTAGAGGCGTCGAGAGTCTACCTGATGGCCTAGCTATCCAGGCTTTGTTTCAATGACTTCGCTTCACTGGTCTGCCTCGGTGGCCGGGATGCAATGTGAGATGTTGCCATGATGTACAACTCATACGACCATGCCCGCTCATCACCCTCCCTCCTGAAAGTATGCCCTCCAGCCGTCCCCTTGCTCCCACCAACCCAACCAACACCCCGGCTACGTGCTCAGCCGACGCCCGCTACTTTGAAGTACATGTTGGTGATGGGACAGGGTGATTCAGATGACAGGGACGGCCCCTCAGACGTTGGACGGGTAATTCTGGATATTTTGGATATTTAATCTGAACCCCCCTCCCTTCGGACGGCTTGAAGCTATCGAGCGGCACGGTGCAACTGCGTCACTCACGGCAGCCACTTTCTCGAGCGCACAGCTTCATTCCAGCCTTGCACAGGAATTCTCCATCGTGAACCACGTCCATCATGGCGGAACCAGAGAAGAGGATCGAGACGGACTCGCCGTACGTAGCCCCCAGCCCAATATCCCCCAGCCACCATTTCCGCGTGAAGTTCCTCTGGGACGCAACTTACACAAACCCCAGGATCCACAAAGACGGCGTCGAGCACCACAACGAACGCAAAAAGTCCATCGCGGAACTCACCCAGAATCTCGAGGGCGAAATCAAGAATCCCCTCAAAGGCATCCCCAAAGCACAACTCCTCGAGCAGGTAACAGCATACCGCAGAAAACACGACCTTCCCGAAGACATCCTTCCGCTGCTGAAAAAGGGCGCCCTCGTCGCTCAGAACCCAGCACTCTTCGAATCCATCGAGGAGCTCGACGAAGCCGAGAGGGACGCGCTGCGCCAGGAGGTTACGCACCGGTGGAAGCACCCCTGGGCTCTGTATTACACCATCATTCTCAATTCTATCGCGGCGGCTATTCAGGGATGGGATCAGGTAAGCCAAGCAATGGTCGAATCCTTCGCGCACCCCCTCACCATGTCATGTCCACCTTCTTCCCCTCTTAGTATTATCCACCTTTTCCCGCTCGGGTTCCCCGCAAATTCCGCATGATCTCCCGGGAGCTTAGCTTTCCTAACGGCGCTGCACCAGACCGGGTCCAATGGCGCCAATTTGTCGTTTCCCACTGCGCTCGGCATCCCTGACACGGCGGGTTCGTCCTGCGGGCCGGTCGCCAACGAGGGCGATTGCGCGAAGAATAGCTGGATTATCGGCCTTGTGAATTCCATGCCCTACATCACGATCTGCCTATTGTGAGTATTGACCTGTTCCGAATGCCTAGACGAGTGAGAGATGTGCTGATTGATTGCGAACAGCGCTGGCTGGATCTCGGATCCTCTTAATGATCTCCTCGGTCGACGAGGTGTCATCTTCATCGCTGCCATCTTCTCGTTGCTCGCGCCCTTTGGCATGGCTTTGTCGCAGACATGGGGACAGCTCGCGGCTTGCAGGTAAGGAAAAACTCCCCCAAATTAACGCTCACCAGCGACATCGTGATGCTCACGGATCCTGCACAGAATGTTGCTTGGCCTAGGCATGGGCTTGAAAGAAGTCACAGTCCCCGTCTTCTCCGCCGAGAACTCCCCCACTCTTATCCGTGGCGGCTTGGTAATGTCTTGGCAGGTCTGGACTGCGTTCGGTGAGCCTCAACAGTCCCCCCTCCCAAGCAACACCAAGAAATCTTGACTCTCGCCGATCTCTTGGTAGTTCTCTTGGCGAACTACCACTCAGAAATGCTAATCATTCCCAAGGTATCTTCCTTGGCACATGCGCCAACCTCATCGTCGGTAAGACGGGCGACATTGCTTGGCGCCTCCAATTCGGCTCCGCCTTCATCCCAGCCGTCCCGCTCGTCATCGGCACGTACTTTTGCCCCGAGTCTCCTCGATGGTACCTCAAGAAGGGCAGGCACCTCAAGGCGTGGGGATCGCTGAAGCGTCTGCGCAATACGGAGCTTCAGGCTGCGAGGGATCTGTACTACATCCACTCGCTTCTGGAGTACGAGGAGACTATGATCAAGGAGTCTGGGCTCAAGGTCACGAGTAACATGTTTACGCGCTTTGTTGAACTGTTCACGATTGCTCGAATTAGGCGCGCGACATGGGCTTCTGGTATTGTTATGATTGCGCAGCAGATGTGTGGAAGTAGGTACCATCCAAAAACAGCTATGTCTTAGGAGCCGTGGGCGGGACTAACATGCTTTTCTAGTCAACATTATCTCGTTCTACAGCGCGACCATCTTCAAGCAGAGTGGTATTAGCGACTATACCGCACTCTGGGCCAGTTTTGGCTTCGGTTTGATCAATTTCACCTTCGCATGGCCTGCCGTATGGACGATTGATACGTTTGGTCGAAGAACTCTCCTGCTATTCACATTCCCAAACATGTTCTGGACCCTGCTCAGTACGTCGTGTCTTCATGCTAACAAGATATTGCATATGATTGCTAACATGGTCGTGTAGCTGCTGGACTCTGCTATCTAATCAACGACAGTACCGCCCGCATCGCCGCAGTGGCGACTTTCGTCTACCTCTTTGCAGCATTCTATTCCCCAGGTAAGCAATGTTCACATCTCACCATTGCTGAATCGTACGAAGCCTACTAACGCCTCAAAACAGGCGAGGGCCCCGTCCCCTTCATGTACTCCGCCGAAGTGTTCCCCCTCTCCCACCGCGAAATCGGCATGTCCTGGGCCGTGGCAACCAACAACTTCTGGGCGTCCGTGCTCTCCCTCACCTTGCCGCGCATGCTGATCGCCATGACGTCCACCGGTGTGTTTTGCTTCTACGCGGGTCTGAACCTCGTCGCCCTCGCGCTCATCTTCCTGTTCGTGCCGGAGACGAAGCAAAAGTCGCTCGAGGAGCTTGATTACGTCTTTGGCGTGCCGGAGCGGACGCACGCAGCGTATCAGGTCAAGACTGTGTTGCCTTGGTGGATTAAGAGGTGGATTTTCCAGAAGAAGGGGGCGAAGTGTCCTGATTTGTATCATGATGAGAATTCGGAGGGAGTACCTCGTGGGGAGTAGGATGGTGTGAAGCGAGGGGTCCTGGTGTTGTTATGATTAGCTGGGTACTGGGTATGCTAATGTCTACGATTGTAGGTCGATTGTGGGTTCGTGAGTGTGGCAGACGTGGATGTGTCTGCCACACATCACCCGAGGGGCGATCGCGCAAGGAAGTAATATTGGTGAACCTCTATCATGTCTTCGTTGGTATTCTTTGGTGGGATTCGTATTATACCCTTCGTTACCGATTCTCTACTTTCTTTCCCTAATATGATCTCATTATCATCTCTATGACCTGAATGAAAATGGACTGTATTCCACCCAAGGGTATTCTAGAGTGTGTAACGGAACTGCGGGTTCGATGTCAGCAAAGAGACTACAACGAATCAGACCAGGTCTACTCACATAAGGGTTCTCGAAATCGGTGTAATCCTGCTCCCCAAGCTCCTTACCCCTCTTCGCTCTCTCCTCCACAGTCAATCCATCAACAGCCATAGCAGCATCTCTCTGCTTATTCCTCCTCACCAACACAAACCGCCACGTCAAAATCAACGCAAACTGAATTCCAAAGCAGATCGCGCACCCAATCGTTCCAGGGGTGTACTTTGGCGCATCCTGCGCCTTGAAGATCTGGCTGCCGACCATGTTACCCACGCAGTACCCGACAAAGGTGAAGCTGGACGTCATGGTGCGCTTGGTGCGGCCGGCAATATTGCTCGGGATCAGGGTCCAGGCGAGGAAGAGGCCGAGGACGAAGGGCACGGTGATGAAGTAGCAGCCCCATTTGGTCCACTTGATTGCTGGGTCATTGGGGAGGAGGGACATGCCGAGGAAGCCTGCGAAGGGGGGCAGGACGGAGGTTGCCATGATCCAGAGGCGGAGGTTGGCTTTTTTGCTGGTGAGGAGGCCGACGCAGATAAAGATTATGACGGACATTACGGATCGGGGGATGTCGATGAGGATGGTTTGGAGGTTGTCTGGAGAGGAGCTTGTGTTAGTGTGGAACTTGATACGAAGCAGATTGAATGATGGAGGCTTGATGAAAGGTCATACTGAAGCCAAAGGAAGTCATGATGATGCTGCCAAAGGTGGTGAGACCGCCGTTAGGGACGGAGCTCAGGAAGGCATTCACGCCGGCGAACCAGAAGATGGGATCGCGACAGCATTCGCCGACCTGCTTCCACTTCCACCCCTTGATTGCGGTGCGATCGTGACCGGTATTATTGGAGATTATGCGCGCGCTCGCCTAGGAGAAATCAGTTTGGGGTTTGTTACGAGATACGACGGGTTTCTTACCATGTCCTTCTCAGCCTGGGTCAACCACCTCACTTCGGACGGCGTACCAAGGAGGAACAGACAAAGACAGCCAATGGCAGTCGTCAAGCTACCCAAGAACTAAAATGCATGTTAGCAATGCGATCCCCAGCCGTCATTGAGAGGCGCACCAGGCCTCGAGCAACTCACAAACGAAATATACCTCCACGGCTGAGCCCCCTCCTTATGCTGCGTCGACGCGCCGATAGCGTACATGATGAGCGAGGCAATGACCCCAAACCCAGCATTCGCGCTCTGAAAGACGAGAGACCTCGAGGCGTGCTCGCGCGTCTTGTACCACGTGCCGACCAGCAACATGAAGCCGGGCGAGATGCAGCACTCGAACGCGCCCTGCAGCGCGCGGAGGACAATGAGGTGGGTGAAGTTCTGGGCGAAGCCGATGCAGAGGACGATGATGCCCCAGCAGATCATGTAGACGGAGAGGGTGCGGCCCATTTTGTAGCGCTGGAGGACGATATTGCTCGGGAATTCGAAGCACATGTATGTGATGTCTGGATTTTGAAGAGGGTTCAGTCAGGATTATGCTGCTGGAGGAGGGAAAGACGCGATGTATGATGGAACGTACAGAAGATTGTTGTGAGCCAGCTGTATTCCTGGCCCTTTAGTCCTGTGTCTTGACGAAGACCAAAGATGGCCTGGGTGCCGAGCGCCGTCTTGTCGGTTTGCTGGATGCCGTAGCATATCCACATCAGGGGGAGGAGGTACTTGTCGACCTTTCTCTTGAGCTTGTGGTATTCCTCCTTTGTGTATTGGCCTTCCACGGCGACTGTATTACTATCGTTAGCATCATAGGTCTTTCAGTCTGCGATGTAGCCTGTCTTCAGCGACAGAAAGATGTAGATCTCACCGAGGTCGGTCTCGCCATTGCGCTCGCTGGTGGTGTCGGATTGATCCTGGTCCGAGACGATGGCGATCTTCTTCTCATCCACAGCGGGAGCCTCGATGTCTTGGGGAGAAGACATGTTCGTGATGGTTCACCAGGGGGAGAACCTCGAGGTTGAAGAGGCAGGAGGGAAAGGTTTAGAGTTCACTATGGATCTCAACGAGGCAATCAAGGCTTCTTTCACATTGACTTGCCTGCCGCAACCTAAGAGATTGCCATAGCTTGTCGACCTATGGAGGAACGAATGTTATATGAGCATCAATACGACGGTGCTATTGCGTGTGTGTGTAGATACGGATATCGGCTGTCAATATCGACTGCCGAAGTGCAACGTAACCCCCCTCCCTGAGTTCCCTCCAGTCGAAGAGTCAAGATAAGGATTCCCGCGGAGAGGGTCAGAGGGTTGAGCGAGGTAGGGAGAGAAGAAGATCTAGAGAGTCGATCGCTTCCATTGAGCGCAAAATAGCCGACCGCGTGGCTAATCCTGGTGGGAACTACCGCAGCACGGCAACCAACATGGAAAGTGACAGGGTGATTTGATGCATGATGGCCCTGTGATTCCGCATCGGACGATGGGAAGCGTGGGTCTCTGGAAGCAGTTTGTATTTGCCCAATTACATCCTTAACATCTCATCGAAATAGACTGTACGTTTGACTAACGACAGATAAGACACCAATGAAGAGAAAGATATCTCTAAGGATGAAGAGGTTGGAGGCGAAAAGATTACCGTCGCGTCGGGTAAGGATACTCGATGCTGGAGGGGGGAGAGCGAGACATAGCAGGGATGTGGCTATGATGTTCCATCGAACACGCCGCGAAGCCGCATCGCGTGTTTGCCGACGAGCTGACGACCCGGAAAGGATGTTGATAGGAGGCGGGGGTGGTGGTGGTCAAACAGTTGAGATGCGGGATGATAAGGCGGGAGAGGAGCAGGGCGGGGCCAAGCCCGATGTTGGTGTTATTCCTTGCCGGCGAATTGTCCGAAAGGCCGGATCTTGAACTTTGGTTGATATAACGCGCCCCTATCCTCGCTGCAAAGAAAGTTGCCCAAGAGCCCAAGAGATCCAAACGGCTTGATCAACGTACGGATCTTTTCCGGGTGCTAAGGTATTCACATGTATTGGGACGGAGTTTTTGATATCCCTCCCCTGCTATTCCCTGAATCCCTGAATCTCTCCCAACGGGAGGCGGGGGAAGCCGGGGTTGTCTTATCTTACCTATCTTACCCCAACTGCGAGCAAGGGGAGGGGGAGAGGAGCCGAATGATAACAGATTATGGTCAGATTCCGTGCTCTGTCTGCAGCTGGAGGCCGAGATACCATGGTAAAAGGTTAAGTCATTGTTCTGTTTGTCTGAATTAGCCTATCCACGTTTGGGCCTCAGTCGGATGCTGTTATTGGTCAGGGCAGGTGAATTTCAAGATTTTGTGATTCTATAGATGCCTTGCTATGCATTTGTCGTCCCTGTTGATGCTCTACACAGCCTTGGAGGCACGCGACTTGTTATCGCGATGGCGCCTCTCCTTGGCCGCTGATTTCCTGCGCTTCATCCACGACTGGTTGAGGTCTCTCCGGTTCTCCCAGAACCACTTTTGAAAGTCGCCTCCGGGCCCGCTGCTGCCCTCGGGGTCGGCGTTTCGCTCCGCATTCAATGTCGCCTCAATCTCCTCGCGGGTCTCTTCGTCGTCCTCCTCATCCTCTTCGCCGTCGTGGCCGATAGCCCAGAACGGTTTCGTGTGGTTGGGGTGCGCTGTGTCGGGCGTGGGTGCAGCGCTTCTAACGTTGCGCCACTCGACGTCTTGTGCGGTGAACGGGGTCATGGGCATTTGGTTGGATGCTGCAACATCCACGTCTTCTTCGATGTCATCGCCGCCGCCACCGAAGAAGCTGAAAGGTTGAGCTTCTTCGGCGGGATGGGTAGCCTCCTTACCGTCCTGCTTTGGGCGCTTGTAGAGAGCTTCCAAGGGATGAACTTGGGCCGGGGTCGATGGTGGTATCTTGATGGTAAGACTGGCGTTGGAAGCGGCGGATCTGGGCCGCGATGCATCGGCGGCTTTGATTGCAGATAGCGGACTGTCAAAGTTGGCAGGGACAGAAGTCTTGGTAGTTTCGACTACCATCTCTTCGTCCGAGTCGGAGCTATCATCGTCAGACGACGATGATGAATCGCTGCTACTGTCTTCATCACCTGCAGCCTTTGGCGTTTGCTTTGCAGGTGTCACCGGCGCCGCCTTAACAATTTGTGTAGCCTTGACCTTTTCCGTGACATTGGCCGGCTCTGGCTCCCCATCTGAGCTCTCGTCGGAAGAAGTATCCTCGTCAGATGAACTGCCGCTACTGCTTGTAGTATCGTCGTCCACGGGTGGAGGCGTGGGAGCCTTGACCTTCTTTGGTGGCTTGGGGCTCTTGGATTCGGGGACAGGTGCCGTGGCTGTTCTCCTAGTCTTGGATGATTCGATCAGGTTCCCTTGGGTGTCAACCCATCCTTTCCCTTCAACAAACTCGGTTGTGAGGTTCTCGGTCGGCGCAGGCTTGGCGGCCTTGAGGAAGGTAGGGAACTTTGTCGTCTTCTCGAATTCGTGGATGACAACCTCCTTGGCCTTCTTCCTGCGTTTCTTGCGATCGCCCTCGTCCTCGGGATCGGCAGCCGCCGGGAGCTGCTTGGAGGGCAGCTTTGTCTTGAGCAGACATTCCTCCCTGTCTGTGTACTTTGAGCGCTCCTCGCGCTTCTTTGTCTTGTCCTTCTTTTCTTTCTTCTCTCCCTTTTCCTTTTTGCTCTTCTTCTCCCTTATCTTGGCCTCCTCGGGAACGGTCCAGCCCCGCTTGACCTTGCGATCGCGAAGCTCGACGCCCTCGAGCACATTCTCATCGCGCTTCTGCCTCTTCCTCTCCTCCTTTTCCTTGGACGACTTCTTTCGCTTCTTGCCAGTCTCTTCGCTCTCAGCCACTGGCATGTAGTCCTCGGCGGGGCGGGCCTTATCGATGCGCATCTTGGAGCCCTTCAGCACAGCGCCGTTCAGCCTCTTCTTGATCTTCTCAGCGTCCGCGTCGGGCACGTCGACGAAGCCGTAGCGCTTGTCGGGGAAGGTTTCAATGGTATGGAAGGAGATATTTCGGGCGTTTGGCAAGATCGCAGCTGGGATGACGAGTTTCAAGAGGTCCTGGTCGAAAGGAGAGATGTGCAACCTCGTGTAGGCGCTGCTGGTTTTGGAAGGCCCAGCAGGATCAGAAGCAGTCGGAGCAGCACTCGGGGGCATCATTAGATATTACCGCACCGCAGGAAGAGGGAGCCGCGAAGGAGCAAACGTTGGACGGTGATTGAGCGTCGTTACCCGCCAAAAAAGAATGAATGGCAGCGGGAGCTTAAGGAACTTAAAAAAAAAAGTAAGCTCCTTTGCTAGAGGATTTTGCCGATCCCCTCGAAAACCCTTTGCTTTGTGTTGCGCAGGGATTTCAATTGGTCCAGAATATTTTCCACCTGGGGCCGTGCTCACATGGCAGCACTGTGCGATGGCACCGTGACCCATATTTCCCTGCTTACGTCATCTTACTTATGTTCGTCTTAACTCATTCCTTCTGTGATATTCCTCACCAACAACTCACTGAGTGAGGTATACAGTCCCTTCCAATCCATTCCGACCACCAGCACAGCATGCGCCTTCCTATGTCGGCTGGTCAGATCAAACTGCTTAAGTGGTGGAGTGGGCAAAGGTCAACAGTTGTCGTCTGAGCCTACTTGACTGGCTACGATTTCGAGTCCGCAAACGATCCCAGCATGAGCACCAAGAGATGTAGCCACCCCGGTGATGAACTCTTTCTTGAACATCACAAATTTGAGCTGCATTGTATCAATGATCCCTATCTCAATTACTCATTTGCTATTGAAAAAGAAAGGGGAGAGGGGAAATAGCACACCTGTTTCTTACCGACATGCAATCCGTTTGAGAATGAGGTGGAGAGAAGCCCTGAACTGGCCTCTGGGCGGTGACTGCCCACGGTGAGACTCGCGTAGCTCCTTCCATCGTGACGACTGTACATGTTCTTTGGATGGGGAAGCTGCTATGGGCTGCTATTTCACATTTTGTTGGGCACCGTGATTTGAGTTTCCCACGCGAACCTCGTCTTCCAGGTTCTTTATCGTCCATCTTCAACCTACCTTAACCTCTCTGCAGCTTTATCCACGACAACAATCCTAGCGAAGAACATCTGACTACAAATCGATGACAACCAGGGGCGTTGCTTTCTTCTCTTCTCGTGGCATTTACTTGCCTATTCCTCTTCTTGACCCTTCGTATTATTCCATATTTGTCGTATGACTTTGCTTCATCCTCTTGCTAGCCTTCAACCCATTCCAACATGAGGGACCCTTCAGAATTCGATGACGAAGAGTTCCGCACTGCACCGTCGACTCGAGAACACAGCCTGTCCGTCAATAGAACTCCAACTGTGACGCAGCTACCAGGCGTATTCGTTCCCTCATGCCACAATGGCACTGTCATCTATCCGACCACCACGCAGATAGACCCTAATCTCGGCCGGCGTCCATCTATCGTGCCACCGGGCCCGCCCACTACCCTAGACTGCAGCTTGCTCAGTAATGGAGACGCCGAGACCATGACGTGGGCTCCTCAAGCCAGTCCGGTTTTCCGGCGGCCATCAAGATGCATGAGCATGGATCAGACTAGAAGTCAGGCCCATAACCACTGTCTGCCCCCGGCCGCTGCAGAAGCAGTCACCAAGGGGGATCTGTCAGGTATTTTAGGTCAAGGCATGATCTGCTAAGACACCTTGCATTTTAATTGCTAATCAATAATGCCGTAGGAAACAAGGGTCTTGCCGGCGAGTCTCAGAACACATCATCAGGGAGAACGAATCACAAATCAGGTACCGGCTTGACGTCCAACATTCAACATGGCCCCACGACGATGCCCAAACGAGGCCGACGCGATATTTCAGGCAGCCACAGCTCCATCAATGTTCGTCATAGCCGACACCCATCCCGGTCCGAGCATCTCTCCGACACCCCGAGACGGTCTGGTCACAGCATTTGGGGAAAGCCCAATACTTTGATGCAGCAAA